TGCTGTCAAACAATTATTCGTGATTAATCACATCCAAAATAAAAGTTTGTTTACATCATATATGTATACTGTGTATATTTATTATGTATATATAAATACACACATGTACAGTATATATTTTAATTAGATTATCTATCTATCTATCTATCTAGTTTTACAATTGTTTAACTACCATTTTGAAAAAAAAAATACAATAAAATAAGTTAAAATAAATGCCAGTTGGTTTGATATACAGTATTTATATATTTTTAAATGTGGCCCAAGTGTCCGTTCATGTATGTATGTATGTATGTATGTATGTATGTATGTATGTATGTATGTATGTATTTATGTATTTGTCCTGTGTATATATATACTTATGTATTAGATATTTACACTTTATTTGTTTTAATTTAAAATCTGAAAAGTTTTTTCTCCAAAGGTAAGGGGGGGTGATAAACTATCTATCTAGTTTTACAATTGTTTAACTACCATTTTGAAAAAAAAAAATACAATAAAATAAGTTAAAATAAATGCCAGTTGGTTTGATATACAGTATTTATATATTTTTAAATGTGGCCCAAGTGTCCGTTCATGTATGTATGTATGTATGTATGTATGTATGTATGTATGTATTTGTCCTGTGTATATATACTTATGTATTAGATATTTACACTTTATTTGTTTTAATTTAAAATCTGAAAAGTTTTTTCTCCAAAGGTAAGGGGGGGTGATAAAACAGACTGTTTCTCCATTAGTTTTCTCACATTCAATTAGAGTACTAGAAAAAGGGAGTTGGAGGCAAGCCATACATCAACAGACAAATGTGAAGCTTTTACGCTACCATTAAGACCACTGTGCTGAACACTATCTTACTCTCGCTGAAAGGCATGTTATGGGGATAGTAAAGTTTTACTAGTCCATGATGGAGATCATTACCGTGTCGGAGGCCCGTCCTGTCAAGTTCAGAAGCACATTAAACAAATCAGCGAAGAAATTTGACATGTAAATAAAAACAGGGCATGCTAATGCATAGCATGAAGAACAGGCTAAATGCTGTTGTGGTAAAAGCTATAAAATGAACAGCATTATTTATTATTGAAGCATAAATGCAGTACAGAGGAGCGTCAGAGGGAGGATTTAGCAGATGCTTTGAATTCCGTATAGTACAAATTAAATTAAATATGAATAATTTGTAAATATCTCTAGCATTAGCATTAGCACCGCAGTGTTTTTGGCCATTATCGTATCACAGTGACAACGTTTATGAAGCCGAAGTTCTCCTGCGATATAAAACGTAAGATAAAAGAGACGGCGAGAGTGAATAAGACACGCACCTCTAACTATTTCCGTCAAGTCGAATCACAGAGGGAGTTGCTTTGCCCATTCAGAAAGGAAAAAGAGAAAAGAGCTCATAAATCAGGGAGGAAATGCAGCACTTTTTGTCTAACAGATTGGCTCACCCACTCCAGCGCATCACTCCCCATCCTTTAAATGGCCGAATGAATTAGTAACAAGCACATTTCTAGCCTTTTAATTTGGCTAGCATGCAAAATACTGCTTCCGATAAACGAGCTATGGAGTTTCTCGGTGACAGTGATATCCATTATGAGTTTAATTATCTTCAAAGTTAAAATGAAGGACTTCTCCTCCGCCCCTCCACCCCCTGCTAATGGTTAGATGAGGCAAAGCGCATTTCAAACATGAATAGGAGGCTGACGAGTTAGCCAGCACCCATTTCACTTTCCCTGATGCAAATTGGAGCAATCAGAAAAACCTCGTAAGAAATATCATCCCTGTTGTTATTTATTCCTTTGCCTTTCATTTCCAAGTCAAAATTCCACTGGGCTAATTTGATATCTTCAATGAAATGGCAGTCCAAACAAGTCAAGATGATTTCCGCATTCAGGGTAAAAACTGCTGAGGAAAAGGTTGGGCTTGTCTCAAATGTCATCAGAAAGACGGGATGATTGCATTGTGCTCAATTGTGTTGCTGTGATTTTCAGGCGGGAATAATCACCCATTAATTTTCCGTTAAGATTTTCAGCAGCACCAGACCGTCCCGTGTCCCTA